AAAGCTTGGACTTCCACCGTTTTAATTGTTATCGCTAACGGTTTTTTTCTTAGCAACCGTCAACGGTTTTCCTCTTAAGAACCATCAACGATTTTCTCTTTAGCAACCATCAACGGTTTTCCAATTGTTATAAGAAAAAGAATAACACAAAGGACAGAAAATCGCTTACAAAGAAAATCGCAGGACTTATTGCCTACACTTTCTATCGTTTTTAAAACCCTCACGCGTATAAGAATCTTACTACTAGCTATCGTTTCAAATATATTATGAAGGTGTATGTTAGAAAATATCTTTTAACAATTATGTAATATTAACGGTTACGCCGACACTCCGATCTCCACAACTGACTCCAAGAAAATAAAGATCACCGCCGTCTCCTTGGCTGATTAGCTGATTTATTATTTCCGACATCAAGTGACAAATAACAATGACTCAACATTTGTCGTATGCAAGTTTGCACTTGTCATGTCGTAACTTGGTTTCCTTAACGCGCACAAGCTTAACCTGCAAACTTACGTAACTTGTCTTTCTCCTATAACCACGCTAGTCAAACTTGATATGATTATTTATTAAATAAATAAAAAATCTATTCTACTTTTTTATTAAATGTACACGTCACTTGTAAATATTCTAACAATAATAAACAGAATAAAGATAATGTAGACACTGTGAAAACTCGCATAGCACTGAAGAACACAACCATACAGAAGAGGATCGCCCGTCTATATACAGTGGGTGTAGAAAATAACATATCCGTACACCGACCAATTTGAAATAAAATGTTGTAAAATTGTTGTTTATTACCTAATTTTTTAAAAACAATGAATTTGTACATATTCTTGAGAGTTTCTACAATAGATGTAATAAAATAAAAAATAATTTTTTTGAATAAATTAAAAAATTAACAAGAAAAACAAAACAATCAGCAGAAACATACGAGCAATAAGTATTTGAATTTATTTCAAACTATTTGCAAAAGAGTTTGTATATAAACCATAGTGTAAAAACATAATGTCATTGCTTTTTAGTTATAATTAACCTTGTCAGCATGTTTGTAAGTGTTATCGGCATCAATTGAATTCAAAATTTTTTAAGATTGAAAATTATTGTTAGAAAATAGGACGAAAACGTGTGAAACAAAGGTAGAAGAAAGAAAAATTATTATTTATTTACATAATCCGTGTAAAAGTTTATTTGAAGTGTCGTGAATTATAAACAGACCTCAATCTACTATACAAAGTCTCATTGTAGGTATGGATTAAGAAAGAAACTGCAAAAAAACTCAAGAAATGGACTTCCAAATTTAAATTAATCAGTACAATGGACGATTTATAACAAGAATGAAAACAGAATCCAAAGATAAGTGCTATAAAAATAGTCAAACATCTTAAAAATAATTTAAAAATTAATATATCAGCTAGTACTGTACGCAATTTTTTGCAAAATGAAGGGTATTGTTCGCGCGCACTATATGTTATGCTGACGCGAATCCGTTTTCAACTAGCGTACCGTTTTTAAGATGCAATTATACGCGAGTTGCACGGAAGTCTCACGACGGTAAACTAATACAGTGTGAGTGGTTTTGTAGTATTACTAAAGTCACTTCTTCAGTCAACAATGCTTTATTAACTTAAGTCTTTGGCGACTATGTTACAATTGTTCGATGTGGACTGTATAGATGTAAAGTGTATAACACAAAAATGTATAATGAGCAAAGAGTGTAAGTATACGAAGAAGAGTATGTATTACGAACAGAAACGAACGAACGATCTTACTTGATTGCACATGGTTTTATATCTGAATTAGTTACACCCCTTTGGAGAGGGAAGGAACTGAATGCAACTTATTAACCAATAATAGGAGGGTCCACCGACCAGAGTGACCCGATGGGAAAGTTTATGTTTTTTGGGAAGGATGGTAGTGGGGGTTTCTGGGAACATAAGACATTTCTTTTCTAAATAGTACCCTTCCCATGTGCATTGTCTCATGTTCACTTAAATATTGTGTATCACTCGAAGGACCCAACACTGGTATGCTTTTAGTTGCCCAATATGTTTCGATGGTCCTTGAAATGGTTAGAAAATTTATGGCAATCATAAGTTTTCTTCATCCTTGAGTAGAATCTTTAAAATAGACGATACCTTATACCTAAGGCTTGATATATTCTATAATATTTGGTTCCATAAAGTAATGATATGGTTTTTCTCAAATGAAATTTAATATATGAAAAAATAACTGAATATAAGTTATCGTCTACACATGGTTTGGTACCGAACAGGTATCATGGTCGAGTGTCCCGTAAAAAGTTTTTCGTAAATGAAATGAATAGGAAGAAAAGATTGGAATTTGCAAATAATAACATTAAAAGACCAATGTGTGTATGTGTTTGTGTGTGTGTGTGTGTGTGTGTAGTACTGGAATCGAGTTATTTTTACAGACGAAAAGAAATTTAATATTTTTAGATCTGATGGACACAGCACTGTATAGAGAAAAAAAAGGAAGAGCTGAAACCAGAAAACTTGCGACCCACAGTGAAACACGGTGGAGATTCTATACTTGTTTAGGGTTGCACAAGTGCCTAAAACAATTGACATCTTTCTCAGGCATGCCATAAAAATTATATCGATAAAAAATATCTGGACGAATGATCTGCATTATCGATTAGTTACAAACGCGACAACTTAAAAATTTTTATTATTTTTGATTTATTTAATAAATAATTATATGGAATTTAACTAACGTTGTTATAAAGAAAGCAGTATTAAGTACGTGTCAAACCAAATGTTATGTACTATTCAATACATTTTTTTATTTATTAATAATATTTATTAGTTTTTTATTTATTAATTTAATTATTTATTTTATAATAATCGGAACGGTATGAAATGCTAAAACCAATGTATATGCGTTGAAACTATCTGAAATATAATTGGAGTGTATTGAATATTAAAAAATTGTTTATTAATTGAAAGGAATGTAGATTGTTATCTGAAAACATCGAGAATACGATCTAAGTACCGTGTTCCTCGAAATTCACCTTTAGACTGGTACGTTGTCCTCCATTACATAGAATTTTAAATATTCTTCTTTCCCCCTACTCTCCTCAACTCCATCACCATCTTAATCCACACTCACCTTCTCTCCCACACTTTTCCACCCCTCAACTTTCCCTGACCCATCAAACCCCTTCTCAATCTTTCTCCCTCCATTTACCTAAATTTTCATGTAACATAAGTAGCATGCATTAGTGCAATAAAATAATTGTTTATTATCCCTTGTTCCTTATCCCTTACCCCTCCCTTCCCGAAAAGATATCTGAAATCGAATCAAATTCGCAAATTCTTTGATGCATTTGATACTTAGTTTTAAATATTACAGGATTAGCACTACGCACAATCGCGATTTCGTCTTATTATTAGAAATATTTAATATAATTTAATGCAATGAATAAATGAAATAAAAGTATTGCAAAAATATGCATTACATTTATTGCATTATTTATTTCAATATCATTTTATTACTTGACGTTTAAAGTGCGAAGTGTTATTAGGTCATCGATGGAAAATATTATCTGCTTGGACATTCGATTAAATGTGCTGGTTTATGTGTCAATGAACTCTAAGTTCATTTATGGTGCACGATCTAGAAAAGTGAACGTGAAATGTAAATTCATTTTTAAATAATTGAGAATTAGAATCATAACAGAATACGAGTTCATTTGCAAAATTAGTATGATAGATCTTATTTTGTTCGCACGTAGGAAATATCCAAATGCAGTTTTCAGGAAATGAAGAAAAGAAGAGGCTTAACGCCGAAGAGGTCCCCACTTAATTCTGGCTCAAGAGAGCAATTACCAGACTATTGAGTTATTTTCAAAGGTTCAACAGCATGTTCGAACTTTTCGAGAATTGCTCTTTAGTTATATTTTATGTTTTATTGTATTTATTTTTTTGCTCGTTATTAATTTGTAGTTGTAATTGGAGATGATGGACCATTCCATCTTCTTGTTAGGCCAAACTCATGCTTGAATCGTTTGAAAGATGCTCAAGTTTTTTGTTAGCTAATAGAGTAAAAACTATTTAGATTTGCCCTTTCTTAGATATTAAACTTAATTAACGTTCGATAAAAATCCTAATAATTTCTCTTACCAATTTTTTGTCTTTTAGGTTTTCAATTTTGACCGTATATTATTATATTTGGAATTTTTTTGTGTAAATGACGCGGTATTAAAGTAAAGTACATTTATTTTATTTTTTTATTAGTAACGTAATCTTTGAAGCTTTTACATTTCCTAATTATTATATTTTATTATATAAAATCACGCGTTTAAATTTAACTTTATGCAACGCGAAATAGAGATTTGATAAAAATAAATAGGGAATTTAATTTAAAAGTGCATCTGCCAATTTAGCGACTTGTATTTTAGGATTGGGTTTATTGACTGTATGATTAATATAGTTTCCTTCTTGTTATAGGTAATCATCGTTGGATTTAACTTCAGCCCTCTTCAATTTTATTGCATTAGAGTACCTTAAATTGTTATTATTGAAAATACATACATATATACATGCTTTTCTGAAAGCACATACACAAACACAAAATTTAAAATATCATTTTAGAAAGTTCTTTTAGAAATATTATAATATATGAATGAGTTGTAGAGTCAGTGATCGGGGTTATAATTGACCGATCAAACGAGCCCGCTGAAGGGCATTCCTCGATGACGACTGGCTTGTTGTCCGGGATGTTTACTTGGACTGACGCTGATACGTCAAGTATCAGTCATAATACAAGACGCTTGTCTTGTGTGATCTCGATTTGAACTTCAAGGACCGATATCTCTGGCTCTGGCTCACCTGACGGTAATTCGCAGGTGGGCGTTTTCCGTTTCCCTGGCCTCGTGATTGAGAAGATATTTTAGCTGCAGGACTTTTTTTAATATCCGCGCATGCCTTCTCTATCTCCTTAACATCCTTGACTTTGTCCTTGAGGTCGTCACCTTATAGCCATTCATTTGATAAAATCGAGCCGACTATCGGCTTGATGTTCTTGTTTAAATGCGGAGTGATGAACGACTTCCTGGCTATCGACTGTTGGTAAAATACGTCTATGAGGATCTGACCGGCATGACTTATGTAGTCGGTAAGGAGATCCTCGTCAACTCCTTCTTCGGGTTGTTCTAACAACATGGAGACAGCGGCACTCAGAGCAGATATAGCTGTATCAACACAATTCTGAGTCTCAGCAAAATGCTGATCTCGCTTTTTTGCTCTGTTGGCAAGCAACGGTACTATCTCCGGGTTCAATTTTGGAGATTCGGTATAAAAATCACCCTTTCTATTATAGGCTTTCAATATCTCTTTTTTATTCTTCTCTGAAAGACCCTCAGTTTTCCACTTCAACCAGGTATTTTTTAATTCTGGATGACATTTTAATTCTTTAAACATACAGTCGTCAGGATCCATTCCTAAGACCTTCAAAATGAAGTCTTTAGTTGGTGTTTGCCCCGCTTGGTCTTTTTCGTCACTCTCGACCTGTTCAGCCTCTAACGTATCCTTCACGGTATTTCCGATATCAGGATCATTTTCTTTATTACTTTCAGCATTTGAGAATTACGAAATAAAAAATTAGCAAAGGTACTTTTTGTGCACTTGTGATACTTGCGTTCTTGTTGAACTCAATCACAAATTGGCATGGTCGTATGGACCTGGTGATATTTGCGTTCTTGTTGAACTCAATCACAAATTGCCATGGTCGTATGGACCTGGTGATGCCGTGTGGGCAAACACCTCCCAACTTTCGTGTGGAAAGTTAAGATGATTTCTAATAATTAAAAGCATAATTAAGCTTAACTTCAATAATCTCTACAGTACTCGGTACTTTGTTAGTACTAACTGGTGAAAATTGTTCTTTTTGAACTTCCACCAACGCCTCAACAATTTTTGTGAGGTTATTCACGCGAGAACTGAGTTTGTCCAGTTTGTCATCTTTCCTGCGCTTCGAATCTTGTGATCGAAATCTTGATCGAGATCGTGATTTTGAGCGCTTTTTTCCCATGTCGAATTTAACTTAAAAAACCTTTATTAATCAATTTAAAATTTTAATTACTTATTCAACAGTTGCGAAAAACGTGTTAATGCTTCAGCACAATGAAACAATATTAATAAAGAGGGCGCATGTCAAGATAAGATGGGGGAGAGCGCCAAGATTTGAATTTAAGCGTTGAACGTTGTGGATTAAAGCATGACAAGCATGACTACATTTTACGATCATCGAGAACGAGACACGTAATATAATAAGTTATAATCATACAGCGAATAAGAGTCAGTGTCGTTCGCTGTATAATTAAACTGCGGTTTTGTGATAAGAAGCTCGTGTATATTTTCTTATTTTCGTTTATAATCGGGTCATTAGATTCACGCAAGATTCATCTTCAAGGTGCGATTGAGCTTCATCCCATTGGAATGCAGTGTAAGAATTCATTTTTATTTATATGTCTTTTATATACTTTGAAATTTTTTTGTATATAACTTATTGTATTGTTTTATGTAATGTTACACATAAGACTATGGATTTTTTTCCTTCTCAAAGATGTGGTATGGATTCTTTGATGGATCTTCTTCAATAGCAAATGGAGGAACTCTTTGATCGTCAGACTAGAATGCTTTCTGCGAATTAGAAGTTTCTTAGAGCTACAGCACAACTTCTAATGCCAACTGGTAATGTTACAATTTATATCTAGTGAAGAGAAAAATTTGGTCTTTCTAGTGCTAAATTATTGCTGAGGATGAAAAGTTCTAATTAGCATAAGCTACTATTTTAAATTATTTAATTAAATTATTGACGATTATATGAGTAATTTCTCTTTTGGGATTATTCATTAAAATTATATTCTAATTGTTATGGCCGAAATTCCTCAACTAAGAGTCCTCTGGCAATTGGTTTATGCTCTCGCACTCCGCCAATATCGCGATCACAACCTTAAGGGTTGTGTGTGGAATGGGCTCACTTTCACGAGTCTTGAAGATTAGGATATTCTCTTCGTTGTCCTTTGTGAATTCTTAAAGCCTCTATAATCCCTCAAGATTTGTAGTCGTAAGCGTCCGGTGAAGAATAGAAAGAATGTCCCTTTGTACTGTCCCAGCAGGACGTACGTACTAGGGCTATGAGAAGTGGGGATGCGAGAGGCGAGGGTAGCTAGAGAAGCGCTTCGATAGTTACTGGTGGTTGATCGATGCTCACAGTAAGTATCGATCTAGAATCCTAATCGATGGAAGCGGATGCGCGCGAGTTTCGAATACTGCTAATCACCGTACGATCCTTTCGGATCGTACATACTCCCCCCGTTGAGAGTGTAACGATCAATGACATTCATAATACATGGGGTTTGTGTTGTGCGCTTATTACAATCAATTTACAATATTTGTGAAACGAGTCACAATTTATATATCGCTATATTATATATCGCTTGCAGCACGAGCTGCTTACCTTATTCCGTGAATCGCTGGCCAGTCGATCTATCTGTTTTGTACGTACGAGAAAATTAATCATAAGAGATACAACGCACGAACGTTAATTATAAAAGATACAACGCAAGAAAATTAATGATGGTTTAACAATGGACAAATAGTTATCGCATTTCGCTTGACCACTCCGTGAACCGTCTTCGCGGTGAATACTCGCATTGATAGTGGACAAATAGTTGTCACACTTTTCTTGACGACTCCGTGAATAGTTTTCACGGCTATCTCACGTATAGTTGATTTGTCGATGAGAATGACGGTGGTGTTCCTTTGATTTTATGCTGGGGTTGGGTCCATTTCTAGCGTTT